TATGCGGTTTATGATTGTTTTAAATCTGTTAAAGTTTTTTTGGTAGAATCGAACTATGTTTTGAGTTGGACTCTAATTTATTCTGTGTTTAAATACACTTCAAATCAATCAATAAAAGATAGTTCATTCCTCCCAAAAATTTCTGCAGTTTAAGAAAAACAAAGAAAACAGAGAACTCCGCATACACACTCTGTTTTCTTGCCCTCTCTCTCTCAAAACTCTCTCTCTAAAATTACTGCAAAAAATTGTGATAGTTTGTTGATTAAAAATCTAAGGTTTGAATAACTTGGTTACTTTGAATTCCACTTTTTAAATAAAATGGCTTTATCTATTTTTCCATTTTTTGGTATAGTGATATGATAATCTCTCAATATAATTTAATGAATAATAATGAGGACTAATATGAGGTCTCAGGATTGTACTGTATTACGTAATAAAGCTCAAATCTACATTATGTCTATGGGGGATGACTCACAACTAATTGTCTAATCAAATGAGAATAGTTCATTGGGTGCGGGCTGGCCGCGTGTGAAGTGGATTTAAACATTTGCTGTCCGTCGGCATTGGAAGTGAAGAAGAAGGGGAAGATTGTGGGGTGTACGAGCGCATGTTTAGCAATGCAATCAGCAAAGTATTGTTGCACGGGGGAGTATGGGAATCCGAAAACTTGTAAACCAACTTTGTTTGCTCATCTGTTTAAAGCGCTTTGCCCGAAGGCTTCTAGGTATGTTATCACTTTCTGCCCTCCAAAGTGACATATATGCATAAAGCATTATATATATATATATATATATATATATATACGTTTTTGAAGTTTAGTTCAAATGGGTTTACTTCAAATTGGTTTCTTTCTTTTGGTTTTCTAAGTGTAGGAGGAGTACTACTTGTATGATTTCAATGGTATTTTTTCAGAATTGTTAAACGATATAATCCCACGTCAATGCTGAATCTATACTTGGTTTATACAATATATAACTTGGTTTATAACAATATATATATATATGTATGTATATTTGAAGTTTACTTCAAATGGGTTTGCTTCAAAATTGGTTTATTTCTTTTGGTTTTCTGTGTAAGTGTAGGAGGACTACTAATTGTATGATTCTAATGGTCTTCTTTCAAGATTGTTAAAAATGATTAATCTCACTCAATACTGAATCTATACTTGGTTTATATAAGATATACAGGCTGCAAAGTTCATATATATATATATATATATATGTATATATGCATTTGAAGATCATTTCAATTTTTTTTTCTTCTTTGACACATCCAAAATTTCATTACTCTATTTACCCATATAGTAGAAATAATGGGATGTGTAACTATGATAGAACAATTTTCTATCACCTTCTTTCCTTGTACTTATAGTTTCTTCGATCTTATCGATTCACAACATTTAAGTTATAAAAAAGTTTATACTATAATTTTATTTTTAAAAAAGCAATGTAAATATATGTTCTAAAAAAAATATTATGTCTATTTCTAGTATAGTCCTACATGTAAAACAATGAGCGAGTTGTAACTCTTTGGTAACTCCAATTCCAATGCAAACTCGACAAACACATCCTGTTTGAACATGTATTATATATTGTGTATATATATGTATAGAAACAAGTTCTCGTTCTATGACAAATAGGAGATTGAAACCGAGGCCTATAAGGAAATTCTCAAAAGGGAATCATGAGTTGGGTGATGAAGGAAGATTCCCTTCCACTAACCAATAAAATGTAATGAGAAATGAGGGAAGCCATTGAAGTATATAAATAGTTATATGTATACGTAGATTATAATTATAATTAAGCAAGTGTAACGAAGATGGAGATGGAAGAGGCGCCAACTTATGCACCATCTATAGCAGTTCTAAATGTTCAAGAAATGGTAAGAAGAGACCCTCTTCATGTTCCCCAAAGATATATAAGAAGCGAAGAAGATAGACCTAAACTTTCTAAACCATCTCATCTTTCTTCTCAAATTCCTATCATCGACCTATCTTTGCTTGCGATTGGAGATAACGAAGAGCTTAGTAAACTTGATTTGGCTTCACAATCTTGGGGCTTTTTTCAGGTATTTAATTTTTTCTATGATAAACAATTCATCTATTTTTATGTAATAAGTAATTTTTTATTGTAAAGATAAAATAATATACAAAATTAGTTTCTAATTAACTGATACTCGATAGAATTCTAATTGTTTAAGTTATATATTGATCCAATTCTTTTGGAGACAAATCGAGTTTGATAATACCAATAGATTGAGAGTGATAAGTCTAATGACGGAGAAATTCACAAAATATGTTTTACATTTCTTATATATATAAAATATTTAAATTTCTCAAATCTAAGGAGACAAAAAAAAATGAATCTAAGACTTAGTATGTGCACTTAAAAAAGTTTATCTAACTATCTACTGTTGAGAATTTACTTCAACAATAAATTTTTAGTTCATTTTTTCAAAACGAGCTATAGAACTTTTAAAACACCATGAATTTCACTTTTATAAGACAATAATATATTCGTTCTAGTTGTTCCATATGAACATGCCAATAATTACGTTGCCAGGGTGACCTCCAACAAATCATCTATGTTAAGCTTAAACTAGTTTGTTAGAGTTTTCTATCCAACTCACAAGTATTTATCAGGATCTCTCGAGTTGGTTTGAGAGTCTAGTTTCTTATAAGTCTCATCGAATCATGGAGTTAATACTTCAATTAATTTGGTAAATGCATGCAGGTGGTGAATCATGGAGTAGCAGAAGATATACTAAACAGTATGAAAAAGCTTTCAACTGAGTTTTTTGAACTCCCGATTAAAGAAAAAGAAAAGTATTCGATGCCCTTAAATGATATACATGGATATGGACATGCTTATGTTGTTTCAGACGAACAACTACTAGACTGGTCCGATGCACTCATGCTACTCGTCCATCCAACTAACTATCGCAAGATTCAATTTTGGCCAGTTAAACCAGACGGATTCAAGTAATTAACTTGTTAGTTATCAATTACTTTTAAACATATAATAATCAACTTAACATGTTTACATGCATGCATGCAGAGAAATTATCGAATCATACTCCAATGGAATAAGAAAAGTAGCTGAACAACTATTAGTTTCATTCTCATTGATAATGGGAATGAAACAAGATGTTATCCTTGGAATGCATAAAAAATTAGTACAAGCTTTACGTATCAACTATTATCCTACCTGTTCCATACCAGATCAAGTGTTGGGGATAAGTCCTCACTCTGATACTAGCACCATAACCATACTCATGCAAGATGATGATGTAGCTGGTTTGCAGATTCGACATAATGAAAATTGGGTTTCAGTAAACCCAATTCCAAATGCTCTAGTTGTTAACGTTGGAGATGTGCTTGAGGTAAATATATATATATATATATGTATATTTATATATATATAATTAATAATCTCAATTACAGTATTGGTTTAAAAACATTGGGCAATGGGTTCATATCGATGATCATTTACTATAGATATGGAGTAATGGCAAATACAAAAGCGTTGAACATAGAGCTATTACAAATGAGAAGATTACAAGAATATCTTATGCATCATTCTTGTTACCGCATGATGATGTAGATATTGAACCATTAGATCACATGATAAATCCACAACGACCTATTAAGATTTACAAGAGAGTCAAGTATGGAGAATATTTAAGGAGTTCAATGAAAAGAAAGATGGAGGGAAAAGCACACGTTGACATGGCAAAATATTGACTCATATATTTATTAACATAATCTATATTATTGTTGGGTATTTTAAGTAAAATGGTTATTTTAAATTAAATAGTTTTATCTCTTTTTGTATTCTATGGTAGATCGATACGATATTCTTTCCTTATAGTGGTTTCAGGATTGTGTTGTTTCATGTAATAAGGTTCAAATTTATATTATTTCTATGGAGACGTCCAACAATTAATTGCTCGATCAAATGCTATGGTTTGTAGCTATTTAGACATTTAACAAATATTTATAGCAAAAAAAATGAAATATCATCCACATCAATGCAGGAGTAATATTCTACACCGATAAAGGAACTAAAAAATAAAGGAGGTTCATGTACAACATAGTATCCATCAAGATTCTTAAGTTACGTGTGTCAAAGCATGAGCTACCAAGTGTAAACTTCAATATTTAAATCCATCACATAAAAAAAAATAAATTCATCTAGTAGTAAACTCATTTCAAATAGTGAGTTGATTGTCATCTCACGAGATTAACCACTTGTTGGGAGTCTCCTTCAATTTGTACATGTGAAAGACCAATTCACGAGATAACTTGTAAGCCAAAAATCATCATTTATGATTCAGTTTACTTAGCAACTCATAGTACTGTATGAAAAATTACAACTTAAAATCACCTAAATAAGCCAAATATGTGAAAGCTTCCGTGTGTGAATAAAAATTATTATAGTAGTAACAGTGTTTTTTACAAATCGATCACGTTACATATGGTAATATTATTATTACTGTAATCTAAATATATTTTTATTTAAGCATCCATTAAGGTCAAACATATTTATCCACTTATTAGGAGAAGACAAACTTCTTCTTCCTCTAAACACTAAAAGAATCAATTTAAAATTATTAAATAAAATTACTACTAATTCTTTTCATCTTAATTCTCTTAGATTATATATATATATACACACGCGCACGCGCGCATATATGTAAGAAAAGTATAAATTCAAGTGCTTATTGAAAATATTTATAACGAAAACTAGAACTCTAAAAGAAAGAAAAGAAGAATTTACTCAAAATCACAAGTTATTTGTATCTATTAAAGAGTTTTATTTTTTATTTTTATTTTACGAGTCAAAAAAATAATTTACTAAAATATGTTACTAAAACATGGGTGCGTTTAATATAAGTAAGATATATTTGATAACGAAAATGGTCGTACTATATAAACATATATAAAGTAATAATAAAATGAAAAGATAATATTTCATAACGAAGAATATAATTACTAGGGATAAACCCTCTTTGATTATTAAGGAGTCATGAAGCCATCATCATGAAATTTTTAGTCAATTAAGATATAGATATAGATATATATATATATACATATACATATATGTAAACTTATTTGACTTTTTTTTTTAATATTAAATTTGCTTACATCTAGAAGTTTTTTCTTTTTTCAAAAGAAAATTTTAAATTGACAAACTTGAAAATTTTCAAACCATTGCATATATGTCCTCATGATTACTTCATACATACACATATATATATGTATATATGCATATATATATATGATTAATATTTTAACAAAATTTCAATAACTTATTCTAATTAAGTTTTAATAAACAATTCTTTGTTTCTTTTAATTTAATTAAAGCGTAGCAACCACGCTTGAGAAACCTCACGCGCTTTCCCCGTTTGAGGTTTCCACGATTTACGCCCTTATAAATTCCCCGTTCCTGCTTCCTTCTTACTTTCGTGCGCTCTTACTTTTCTCTGTCGTCTCTCCGATTCTCTCTCACCAGTTCCCGTTCAGTCTAATTAGGGTTTTCCTTTTTCACTGATTTCTCCGTTCCATCTTCTCGTAAATCGACGGAATTAGGAGAGAATTTTTCGGTGGGGGGTCTTCTTTTTCGTTTAACTCAACCGATGGAGTCGATAAGGCCATCTTATTGGTGCTACAGATGTAACCGGTTCATCCGGATCCGAGTCCGACCCAGAGAATCCATCCTCTGTCCCAACTGCGGGGCTGGATTCGTTGAGGAAATCGAAACTCCGTCTCGATCTCCTCTTCACCACAGACTTCCAGCCGCCGACGCAATGTACGTCCCGAACCAGGACCCGAGCCCCGGTCTGAGTCCAATCCCAAGCCCAAGATTTCGTAGAACACGAAGGGCAGGCGGAGACCGCTCACCTTTTAATCCTGTAATCGTGCTTCGGGGCTCTACCGGTGATACCGGCGGCGGAAATGACGGAACAGCCGGAGAAAGAGGAAATTTTGAGCTTTACTACGATGATGGAATCGGGTCGGGTCTGCGGCCTTTACCATCCAGCATGTCAGAGTTCTTGATGGGTTCTGGGTTTGACCGACTCCTTGATCAGTTAACTCAATTAGAGGTCAATGGAGTCAGCAGATTCGAGCACCCACCGGCTTCCAAGGCTGCAATAGAGTCCATGCCAATGATCAAGATTCTTCAGAGTCATGTGTCGACGGAGTCGTATTGTGCAGTCTGCAAGGAGCCCTTTGAGCTAGATACAGAGGCGCGGGAAATGCCATGTAAGCATATTTACCATTCGGATTGCATTCTCCCGTGGCTCTCTCTTCGGAACTCTTGTCCAGTTTGCCGCCATGAGTTGCCTACAGATGTGAATAGAAATGGCAGGAACGTGGGAGAATCCGATGATGGGGTTAGAGATGAGGAGACGGTCGGGCTGACAATATGGAGGCTACCTGGTGGTGGGTACGCCGTGGGGAGGTTTAGTGGGGGAAGAAGAGCAGGGGAGAGGGAGTTGCCCGTTGTTTTTACAGAAATGGATGGTGGGTTCAACACTCCTGGTGCTCCCAGGAGGATTTCTTGGGTGCCAAGCGGGGGAAGATCGCGAAACAATGGTGGATTAAGGCGTGCCTTTCGCAGTTTCTTTTCATTCTTTGGGAGGCTTGGGAGAAGTTCAGCTTCTCATTCGCCTTCTGAATTCGGTTCATCGAGAAGAAGTCGATCAATTTCCATTTTTGGCAGATCATCTAGGAGGCGGAGTGAAGCTTGGAATGTGGATGATGACAGATATTGAATGTTTTATGTAGTATTTTTGGTTATTTAGGGTCTTCTGCTGATATTATAATTGTTTTTGTCTTCCTCTGAAGAAAGGGAAAAAAACGAACATTTGTAAATTTTATGATTCAGTTACTGTATATAATAATACTTTGAGGAAGAAGTGAGCAACCACTGAGTTTCATTTCTGTCCAAGACAAATTTTGTTTTGCTGGTAGTTATGGATATGGAAGAAGTTGACCTAGACGATGTTAATGAAGAGGAAAGCTCTGCGCTTTAGAAGTTGAGGTACAACTCCACGTGTGGAATTGGTCATTTTCTTAATTTAGACTCAAACGAATTCAAGTTTTGATTTTTGTATTAATTACATGTTTCATGCTTGCTTTATTTTACTGTAACTTTTTGGTAGCACTTACCATTTTGGTAATCCATAGTTAATGCAAATTTTGAGTTTATTTAATGGCATAGACTCTGTTCGTCGGCATCTATGATTGTTGTGTTTCTTTCTGGTGTACTCGAGTTGTAATTTCAATAGCTCAATACTGTGTTCTACCATGTTCAGTCGTTGTCTCTTTTGAATTTTAGGTAGCGTGTGGATGGTTTGTAAACTTAAAATGATTATCCAATTATTCATCGTCTGCGTAACTTGGAATGGGAATATGGGGCCGCAGTCGTTAATGCTAATAATAGAGAGCTTGTAACATTTATAGAGGGTGATGATTGTTATCTGCATATATTTGGTTTTCTGTGTTTTAAAGGGTTTTCAGTGGAAAGTTTGAGCAATCCCATTTGGAATTTGTGAAGTTACTCTAGTACTGTAGAAGGAGGAGAAATTCAGAAGCCTTTTGGAATTCCCTTTTGGCTTATCTGTTTAATTTACTGATTGGTTGAACCATGACTATTTTACATGCTCTAATCATCTTTATTGTCCTAGAAAATTCTGTGCAAATGGAGCATATATTTGATACAGCTCACTACATATTCTTCCAGAGAGACAACTTCTAAGGTCCTTGTTTATGAAAAAGATATGATGATAAACATTTCATAATCTTTTTATGGATCTATATTCGTTTTTGCATGATATGGATCCGTAAAAAAGATACTTGTGATATACTGTTTGCAGAAGAGTTCTGTGGCCAAGGTGGTTAAACTATTATGGTGAGAATGTTACCTGGAATTTGTAATGACCTTTGGTTGTGTCCTATGGTGTTGGATTACAGTAATTGTAACCACTATCATGTTCATCCATTTCTCCTCCATGTATACATGATATGTATGTATATCATGGTCTTTACCTTGAAGTTTTTGATATCGAGTTTTGATGTTTAGTTTGCTCAGTCGAGATACCTTAATTGCTGTCTTGGATTTTCGGATAAATGTTTAAGCAGAAAAAAAGCTTGTATCTACAAGTGCTTTCAAAATCCCAGATGATTATATAGTTCGAACCGCAAGTTGGTACTAGCACAGAAGAAAGAAATGTAAGATATATTGACTTTGAGTTTATAAAAATTAGCTTTGTTGGATAAGTCATGTTGTCTTGTTGGGACCACTCTTATCCATGACATCCACAGGATTCTTGAGTCCCTACGTTGCCTTATCCATTCATATAGTTTGTGATATATATATATATATATATATGTAATTTTCTTTGCATAACAAATTGCAGATCTGAACGTGATACCATCAATGGCTTCTTTGCATACTTTGTGTGGTGTGAATACTTGGAAGCAATCAGCAGTAGCAGGATTCCATGGACCACAATCAGTTCCCAGATTGAATGTGAAGCAGGCGAGAAAGAAGAGATATTGTACAGTTGTAGCAGCTGTTGGAGATTTATCAGCCGATAGTACAACCTATCTGCTTGCCGGTGCTGCTACTGTTGCCTTGCTCGGAACTGCCTTTCCAGTCCTCTTCTCCCGCAAGGACCTGTAAGTCTAACATTTCCCTTATTTCTGCTCTTCCTGTGTTGATTCAATTTTAGTCCCATCCAACAAATATCTGGTTGTATGATGGTCCACGGCAGATGTCCAGAATGCGATGGAGCTGGGTTTGTTCGGAAATCCGGAGCAGCCTTGAGGGCAAATGCAGCTCGTAAGGACCAGGCTCAAATAGTTTGTCCCCGTTGCAACGGCCTCGGAAAACTAAACCAAATCGACAAATAAACTCCTCTCTGTTGTTGTCAATTATTAGGCATAAACAAACTCATCTGATGTAAAATTTGTATTCTCCTCTGCATACACCTCAGTTTCTTTCTTCTTTTGCTTGTATAAATCTCCGGATGCTTGTCAAACATGTCTTAATTCCTCGAATGCATAGTTATAATCAGTTTCGACGTGCTTTTCTCTTTTGTCAAAGATAGAATTTGGTAGTAGTGATATTCTGCTTCTGCTGGACATCGAAAGGATTTCCTTTCGTTTTCGGATTTTCATCGAAGGAGACTATTTTTAAGAAAGATTCAATCATTGATAGAGATCAGTTTGAAGTCGGGCAATATAATTAATATCTATAACCCGATTTCGATAAGATTATTTGGTTGCTCGGTTGCAGATGAACAATTATAATAAAGTTAATCACATCATATTATAGTAATCACGATTAAAAAATTAATCTATACAATAACAAAAGCATCGAATTCTAATGATACGATGCTATTTCATCGTAGAATTTATGCTTAAAATAAACAATAAAAATGTTATAATATTAAAATACTCGAGCACCATGTAATTTAATATTTAAATTTAGAATAAATTTTTCTATATTCTTTAACCTACTTCGTTAAGTATATTTTTGTATATATTTTTCATTTTAATCTATCTACGTATATATTTTTTTATATCTTTTAGTTGAATTTTTTCTATTCTAAACTATTCGGGAGAAGTTAAAACGTCATTCAATTTATATTACTTAATAATAAAATCCATTTTCTATCTTCCAGTTCGTCATTTTTATACTACATAAAAAAAAAATAATATCAAATTTTCTTATCATATCACATTGATCAGATTCTCATGTTACAATCGCTTTCATAACATATTAGCTTTAACTCTATGTGGAATCTAATAAACTTTGTGCTATAATTTATCATATAATCTATACAAATATAAATAACGTATTGCAGTAAGGTTTTACTTCCATTATGCTAAAAACTATCTCAATAATTATTGCATATATAATAATTGTTGTCACTTCAACGTTAATCATTTTAGGAAAGTATAAAATCTTCGGTAAAAAGTAAATGTTGAACTAACACTTCTCGTGTCAGAAGATTAAAAACAAAAAAAAACTTATTCGAACTAGTAGTAGAAGTTTAAGAAATATTAGCTCCTAATGAAGTTATTTATCTTCGTGCTAATGATGTCGAATAATTTTCTTATTTCAAGAATCTTATTTTACCTTTTGGTGTGAAAGTGGTTCTCATTCATAGTAAGTACGTTAAATAAATTTTTTTACGATAATTTTTATTTTATTTAATTAATTTTATGATCGTTGAAACATCTTTAGAAATTTCAACGTAATTTTTTACGGGTTATTTTTTAGTATATATAAGAATACGTTAAACAAAATAATTTTGTTAGAAACAACAAAGAGAAATAAAAATCTTTAAAAAAAAGTGGGCAATTTTGTAAAATGTCAAAAGTTGAGGTATGAAAATAGAAATAAGCAAAAAGAAGAAGAAATTGAAGGTGGTTGTTAACGTGTGTTCCGTATGTCCAAAAACCGACAACGCCATGCATTGATTCTGGATGTAGATCTGATTCTCTTGAGAGAAAAAGAAAAAGAAAATCAATTAGATCGATGCAGGAAGTTTCTTGGCGCGGAGTTCAGAGATTTTTTTACAGTGAGATTCTTCAATCTTTGTCGCCGGAAAACCCACACCCGCACTCGAAATTTCTCTGTTCAAATCAACTCGTTTCAGCTCCAGAGAAATATAGAAGAAGAAAACTCTCAGTCGTTTCTCTCTGCACTTCTTCTGTATATATATATATTAGTTCCATGAAGCTTCATCTTCTTCTGTGCCGTTTTATCTCATTCAGATTTCCCAAATCACTTTGTTATCATTCTCTGCTTCTCTTGTTTGAAATACAGGCAAGCTTCGCTGTCTTCGAGACTCTGATCTTCCCGCTGAAAACCCAGCTAATCCCATCTGGATCCGTACCCAGATCCCCAAACAAGCTCAGCTTTCGCCATAACGTCAGCCTCACAGTGTCTCTCACCGTCGGAACTCCTCCACAGAATGTCTCCATGGTTCTCGACACCGGCAGCGAGCTCTCTTGGCTTCCCTGCAACAAAACCGGAAATCACCCAACTATTTTCGACCCGACTCGATCATCTTCCTACTCCCCAATCCCCTGCTCCTCCTCCATCTGCACCAACCGTACCCGGGACTTCTCCATTCCCACTTCCTGCGACTCTGATAATCTCTGCCACGCCGTTCTTTCTTACGCCGACGCCTCGTCCTCCGAAGGAAATCTCGCTTCCGATGTTTTCCAAACCGGGAGCTCTGGTATTTCGGGTTTGGTTTTCGGGTGCATGGACTCGGTCTCCAACTCAAACTCGGATCAAGACTCAGTCAGTGCAGGTCTAATGGGTATGAATCGTGGATCATTGTCCTTCATTTCTCAAATGGGTTTCCAGAAATTTTCGTACTGCATCTCCGGTACCGATTTGTCTGGTCTTTTACTGCTCGGCGATGCAAATTTCACGCGGCTCCTCCCATTAAATTACACTCCATTAATCCAAATATCAACCCCATTGCCGTACTTCGATCGGGTCGCTTACACAGTTCAGCTCCAAGGAATCAAAGTCTCCGACAAGCTCCTTCCATTACCGAAATCTGTACTCGTACCAGACCATACCGGAGCGGGTCAAACCATGATCGATTCAGGAACCCAGTTCACCTTCCTACTCGGTCCTGTCTACACTGCTTTGAAATCCGAGTTCTTGAATCAAACCAGTGGGGTTCTAAGGGTTTTAGAGGATGAAAACTTTGTGTTTCAAGGTGCCATGGATTTATGTTATCTCGTTCCATTGAATCAACCGGTTCTTCCCCGGTTACCTCCCGTGACTTTGGTGTTTGAAGGAGCCGAAATGATCGTATCGGGCGACCGGGTTTTGTATCGGGTAGCGGGTCAAGTAATGGGAAATGATTCTGTGTTTTGTTTCACATTTGGAAACTCCGATCTGTTAGGTGTGGAGGCGTACGTGATTGGCCATCACCATCAACAGAATGTGTGGATGGAGTTTGATCTGGAGAGATCAAGGATCGGTCTGGCCCAAGTACGGTGTGATTTGGCTGGACAGAGATTTGAGATGGGACTTTAAGCCGTGTGATTAAGTCGAGGTCGTACTAACGGACGGCTTGATTTGTTTTGGCTTGCAAACATCCCACGTGAGATCATCTACACCAAGTAATAATAATAATTCAAGGCCATTTAGATCGTGAATTTGTAGTGGTGTAAGTAACTGTGGTGGCCCACATGATCGGACGGCCATTAGTTAATGAGAAACTAAACGAATTAAGATAAAGAGCAAAATTAATGAAAGGTAATTAAAAGAAGTAAAAAGTGTAATGAAAGGTAAGTGAGTTTTTCAACTTTTTAATTTCTAATAACTAAGAAGATATAAAAAAATATATATATTAAATTAATTTTTTAAAATTTAAACGCTCGTTACATTTTAAATATATATATATTAGTATAATTTAATGTATTATAGATCAAATTATAATAAGTGTCAAATATCGAAAATTAACTTGACAATATGTTCTATAATAATAAATGCAACGCTAACGAACGAGATCTACTGGTCAAGTAAATAAAAACTTAAAAATGCAATGAAATTAAAAGAGTTAAGTGTTTTGCAAATGCAATTTCTATAGAGGTTCGACTACCCACGTGCACCTATATTTTCTTCTACGTTATTGCTTGAGTATTTCGTTAAACTTTAATAAGTTTTTTTTTTTTTTTACAAATGTTAGTCTGTAGTGTCTATCTCACTTTCACAAGTGATTCCTCCTCTTACACAGAGTTTCTTTCTCTCTTACAATATTTTTTTTACTATTTCGCAAGAGCTTCTAATTCCCTTTTACAAGAATTTCATACGCTTTTTTATAAGAGTTTCATATCTCTTTTACAGAAGGTTTCTTTCTCTTACACGAGAGTTCTTGACTCTTTCTGAAAAGTTCTCTTTTCACAAAGGTTGAACTCCCTACCTCAATGATTCCCTACGTCCTTTCTTGTAACACCTAAAAGATATACATTCAGATATTTACAATAGATTTTATCTTGTACAATAGATAGACAAGATGAGTACAAACTTTTTCTTGTGAAGAATAGATAAACCAGTTGAGTGAAAGTTTTTCTTCTTTAAAAATTAAATGAAAAACTAGGAAGGCTAAAATTTGTGCTCGAGAGTAAATATAAAAACTTTTTACTCAAGATTCATTTTTTCTGCTCACACAGTCGTAATAAATGTAATAAGTGAGTGACAGAATTTTGTCGTATTTTCTGTTTTAAGCAAAACATTTTATATGATGAATGGATCATTACATTATAATTTTTTTATTGCATAAGTAAAAAGAATTCTGCATGGTGAAGAAATCATCACATCACATTCTTTACTTCCATTCAGACCAATTTTATCATTCAGAATACTTTATCGACAAAGCTCTTTTCAATGATGTTTGTAGTACGAAAGTTTATTTTTATTTAGTATGTTAATAAATGTAATTCCGTATAATCACATCTCTGAGTACAAAGGGGAATACCTTAAGTGTCTTGTATGTTATGAGATAATTCAGTGGATTACTTTTCAAACCGTAGAGATGATGCATTTAAATCTTGGTTGTGTTTGAAGATGTGTTTTAGGCAAATCATGTCAAAAATTACACAATTTTTAACTTAACATTTTTAATATGATGTAGTTAATTTGTCTGTATCATTACTATTTCCAACAAATATATTAATTAATTGTAACATAATGAATTGTAATTTAATTTTATTGATTTTTTTTTAAAAAAATGGTCACATTATCATTCATTAAAAATCCATTACAGTCCTCTCAAGGGCAAAGGCCTCCCATATATGAAATTCTAAATAGGAATGAGCCTCCCTCGCGAGTCTATGCGCATGTACATTGGAATTCGTATGGGCCCAACTAATAGATATATCAAGCCTATTGGCTAAAAGATCTCAACAATTTGCTGTGATGAAAGAAAACTCGGAACAGTCCTCTTCACCAGCCCCTGATGCTCATACAACTTTATGGGCATCCATTTCAAGAATGTCAGGACCCTTGCAGTTTGCACAGATGAATTGGAGCACAGAGCGGCACCCCAATAGTTCCGCCAAATAAGCATAACAACATCCCGAGATCCATCCTTGAGAAAGCCTTGATGATGATACTCTCGAAGTTTCGAATAATCTCTATAAAACCACCCTCTGCAAGATCACTAAAAACGACTTCATCCATATTACACTTCCAAATACAAGGGGGATGGGGCTACCAATGGGTTTGTGCGATTCTCATGCTCTGACCCAGGACAAGTCCACCAATTCTCATGTCATGTGCCTGTTTCCACTCCTGAAGGTATTTGTGCAACAGGTTAACCGTGTATGATCCGTGAAAATTCTTCTTAACCATTGAGCCTCGTTTCGCTCATACCATAGACGCCATAACAAACAGAGAGACTCCTCCACATAACTCGTCAGCTGGGAAGTAAACAACAATTCTATCCAACCCCTCATATTATCTGGAACTGTTTGAAGTTGAGTCTGCCCCCATGCCTGCCAACAACCTATGGCCATAACATAATGAAAAAATACATGACTCGGGATCTCCACTTGCCCACAACGACAACAACCAGCCAGAATATCAATGTCTTTCCTCTGCAACCTGGATTTCACTGGGAGAATATCATTCATGAGATGCCATGTAAAGTTTCTCACTTTCGGGGGCAGTTGTAAGCTCCA